CGTCTTGTTGCGTCTTTAAGGCGGTTAGTTGACCTCAGTTAAGAAAAATAGTATTATTATTCGCCAATAGATGTCGGGAAGAGTTGATTATTGAAAACACGAACAAAACAACATTTTCTGAAAATAAATCGTAGCTAGATCGATTTATCGCCCCCGAAATCCCCTGTATACTAAATTTTATGAAAATCGTTGGAGCCGTTTCCGAGATTTAGATTACATATATACTTAGTCTGGCCATAAATACTGTTACAACTAAAAATAAAAAAAAAATCTATTGCAAATAACATTTATTACTTTTACAGTGTGTTAGTTTAATACATAAATATAAAACAATTTAAAGTATAAAAAGCTTTTTTTTGTTGTTGCTTAGATGGGTGGACGAGCTCACAGCCCACCTGGTGTTAAGTGGTTACTGGAGCCCATAGATCTTGTTGAAAAGTTGTACACCCAGCCCCCTAAAAGAGTTGCTTATTTTCTTAATTCGAGCCGCTGGTAACGCCAGCCTATGTTTGTTCCTAGTGTTCACATTGTCCAAATCGCAGACTCTGGGGAATTCTTCAATGTTTTTATGCACTTACAATAAATTTTCAAAAATGTATTGGGACGCTAAAGTTAGAATTTTGATTTCCTTAAACTTGTCCCTCAAGGATTCCCTCGGGTGCATATTATAAATAGCACGAATAGCCCTCTTCTGCAGGATGAAAATCGTTTCGACATCGGCAGCATTGCCCCATAGCAAAATGCCATAGGACATAACACTATGAAAATAACTGAAATAAACCAGACGTGCCGTATCTTCATTAGTATACCTACGTTCGTATTTTTTTTTACCCCAAACGCTTGCATATGTGAGGACCCCACTGCAGCTTGGAATCAACTGTTATACCAAGAAAAACTGTCGAATCCACAAGCTCCAGTGTCTTTCCACTTACAGTAATATTAGTGTCTACTTGTCTAACATTAGGTGTGGTAAATTTTATACATTTTGTTTTTTTGTTATTTAATAACAGATTATTAACACTAAGCCAATGTACCACGCGCGAGATAGCATCATTCACATCGTCATAATCTTCCAATTGTTGTTTAGTTTTAAACAATAAGGATGTATCGTCAGCGAATAATACGACCTCGTGACGGGTTTCACGGCCGTTCCGAAAGCCGTGCTGCCCCACCGAGAGATCGGGATCCGTCTCGGCCAGGTACTGGATAATGCGGGCCACTGCGATGCGCTCGAGTATTTTGCCGGCTTCGTCCAGCAAACCGATGGGGTGATACCCCCGTCCTTCCTTAACAGGGCCAGTCTGCCTGTCTTCGTATCCTGGACACAGTGGCACGACCTCCGCCCCGGAGATGGGGGATAGAGAAGGCGGCTAGTTCCACGTTGCATCCATCTAGGGGGGCTCGAAATCACTCTCTCCCCGCGGAAACAGCGCTGACACAATGTCCCGCAGCTGCCATTAATAAACGTATTAATGGCAGTGGCGCGTTTAAGAATGCAATTCCGAGCGACAGGCAGCGATTACAGAATAATAAATATTATTAAGCCGTCAGATACAATCTGCGCGCGTAACACTAACGATCATAATCCACCGGCCACCGATAACAGTTTGGAAAACCCAGGCGCTGCTATCAGTCTTCCTGTACTTATCACGATTCGTACTATGTTAATAATAAATTGTTTTAATCAAATACAAATCTTTGTCGAATCGGGAGGAACCGAAATGTCGTGTTAAGAGCAGGATCGGGAGTGTAGTTACCGGCTTCCACGACATGAGGGTTTTCGTGTCGCGCCCTTTTCCCGAAATAGCACACTGATGCCGACTGAATATCCTTACTGATGGACTCTAGGTCCATATCGTCCTGGAGATCCACGTTCCCGCCTCACGGAGCACATTCTTGTGGGGCTTAATCGACCAAAACCGTTATACACGGGAGCTCTCTTCTTCGACGTCGCAAAAGCGTTCGACAAAGTCTGGCACAACGGTTTGATTTTCAAACTATTCAACATGGGCGTGCTGGATAGTCTCGTGCTCATCATACGGGACTTCTTGTCGAACCGCTCTTTTCGATATCGAGTNAGGTGCACCGCCTCACGGAGCACATTCTTGTGGGGCTTAATCGACCAAAACCGTTATACACGGGAGCTCTCTTCTTCGACGTCGCAAAAGCGTTCGACAAAGTCTGGCACAACGGTTTGATTTTCAAACTATTCAACATGGGCGTGCTGGATAGTCTCGTGCTCATCATACGGGACTTCTTGTCGAACCGCTCTTTTCGATATCGAGTCGAGGGAACCCGCTCCTCCCCGCGACCTCTCACATATGGAGTCCCGCAAAGCTCTGTCCTCTCACCCCTCCTATTTAGCTTATTCGTCAACGATATTCCCCGGTCGCCACCGACCCAGTTAGCTTTATTTGCCGACGACACGACTGTTTACTATTCCCGTAGAAACAAGTCCCTAATCGCGAAGAAGCTTCAGAGCGCAGCCCTAGCCCTAGGACATTGGTTCCGAAAATGGCGCATAGACATCAACCCAGCGAAAAGTACTGCGGTGCTATTTCAGAGGGGAAGCTCCACACGGATTTCCTCCCGGATTAGGAGGAGGAGTCTCACACCCCCGATTACTCTCTTTAGACAACCCATACCCTGGGCCAGAAAGGTCAAGTACCTGGGCGTTACCCTGGATGCATCGATGACATTCCGCCCGCATATAAAATCAGTCCGTGACCGTGCCGCGTTTATTCTCGGTAGACTCTACCCTACATCTGTAAACGGAGTGAAATGTCCCTTCGGAACAAGGTGACACTTTACAAAACTTGCATAAGGCCCATCATGACTTACGTGAGTGTGATTTTCGCTCACGCGGCCCGCACACACATAGACACCCTCCAATCTCTACAATCCCGCTTTTGCAGGTTAGCCGTTGGAGCTCCTTGGTTCGTGAGGAACGTTGACCTACACGACGACCTGGGCCTCGAATCTATCCAGAAATACATGAAGTCGGCGTCGGAACGGTACTTCGATAAGCTATGCGTCATGATAATCGCCTTATCGTTGCCGCCGCTGACTACTCCCCGAATCCTGATCACGCAGGAGCCAGTCACCGTCGACGCCCTAGACACGTCCTTACGGATCCATCAGATCCAATAACCTTTGCATTAGACGCCTTCAGCTCTAACACTAGGAGCAGGCTTAGGGACCTCGGTACCCGTACTCGTCGAACTCGACAAAGAGTTCACCGTGCAACCTAACCCATTTTCTCGCCGGATCTTCTCAGCGGGTCGCGATTCCGATCCGGTAGTAGATTCATTCGCGAAGCAGCTACAGCAGCTGTTAGGTCTCCTTCGGAGGCGCTCGGGTAGCTGTTAGCAAATCCCACCCCTCTTGGCTGAGCCTTTGCTCGTCCACCTGTTCTGGTGAAACTGGAAAGGCCTCCGGGTCACCAGTAACCCTTCAATCATAAAAAAAAAAGATCCACGTACACGATTACGAACCACGATGCCCCGACGGCTATCCTGCAGACACGAGATTGAATAACTTGAAGGGACTTCAAATTAGTGTTGGCCGCGTGAGCAAACACTACACTTGCATATGTCATGATGGGGCGTATGCAAGTTCTGTAGAGTGTCACCTTATTACGAAGGAACAATTCACTTCGCTGGCAAATCATCGGATAGAGGCGTCCTAGTATGAACGCGGCTCGATCGTGTATCGTTTTTATGGGGACGGAACGTTATCCCTCTGTCGAGGGTGACGCCTAGATATTTGGCCTTTGGTATGGGCTGGCCGATAGAGTGATGGGGCGAAAGGCGGAGGTGTTGACGCGCCTTTTACGGAGTGGGCTGCTCGAAGTGGTATCCGGAAGGCGACCCCTTTTGAAGAGCACCGCTGTGATTTTGGTGGGGTTGTGTGGCGCGACCATGGCCACGCGTGTTTATACTCGCAGTAGAACAGTGGGGGTTGTTTGTTCAAGAAGGCTTTGAATACCGTCCTAAATAATTGCTTACATGCGTTGAACTTATAACACTTAATCATTTTAACATTACGGAAACAGTCAACTTTAACTACTCTTAGTTAAGGAAACAGCATTACTACACCGATATAACAATATAAGTATGAAATAATTCAATTAATAAATAACTTCATTATTAATTATTTTAATTGAATTACTTTCATTTTTTTATAAATTAATATTAAAATGAATATTAATTATTTAATTAATTAAATTTATAATCATTTTAAATAATATAAGTGATATTACCATTTATATATAAACATTATATTAATAATAATTATATAGTTTTTTTGGGTCAAAAAGCGCCTTCGAATCTATGGAGCAATATGCGTAAAGGACACAGCCCACACTTTTGGTAGACTAATAATAAATCACAAGTTTAGATGTGTTAGGGTGCTAGGAGATGCAATCTGCTTTAAGTTGCCACTTATAAAGCATAGCATTTAGTGGACTAAATTAAGAACAGTGCAGTCGCCCTCCACCGAAGGCTGCCACGCCGAGCAACTGCCAAGCGACCGCCTAGCGACTGTTGAGCGACTGCCAAGCGACTCCCAACCGACCGCATAGCGACTGTTGAGCGACTGCCAAGCGACCGCATAGCGACTATTGAGCGACTGCCGAGCGACTACCGAGAAGCACCCATGGGCCGGTCGACGGTGCCCGACCCTCTACTTACAGAGACATAAACTTAGTGTCCCAATAAACATACTTTAACAACTGGATCATTAATAAATCTTGAAACATTTGGTAAGGGCCGTAATTCACCCGACACGCGGGGCCCGCCCGTTGGTATATTGTTGACACACAAACAAGGTCTCGTCAATTTACTATCTATGATGATTTTATGAGCAGTGGGATTATTTTCGCAAGTTAATTTTATCATCATTTACATCATTTACCTGTCAAATTCATTAATTCCATGTTTAAAATGATACTTTAGATCAGATAAGATACTATTGTTTCAAGTATAAAAGACACTGAAGCAATGACTGACAACATTCTACTCGAGGGAACCTGTAAACTGGTAGTAGCCATGAAGGTCTTCGCAGCAGTACTGATGGCGTTGGCGGCCGTGGTCGTGGCAGAAGAGCCCATCGAACTCGACTACCACATCAAGATCGGTATCCCCCGGGCCGAGAGTCTTAGACGCGCCGAGGAAGCCGCTGACTTCGACGGTACCAGGATTGTGGGTGGTTCTGCCGCCAACGCTGGTGCTCACCCCCATCTTGTAAGTACCTACTGCTATCCAATACACCCTAATCCTACCGATTTCAAACTTTCATTAAAATTTTGATCGAAATATAGCATATTAGTCATTTAATTGTTATTATTACTATTTTTCTACCTATTCACCGGTAGCCTAAGGGGCTGTTCCAACTTCCCGCGGACGGGTGGGTGAGCTCACAGACTTAAGCTGATAGAATTCACTGACAACAGTACCAGCAAGAGCAGTGCTTCATAGAGTCTATCACTGGAGCGGAATCGCGTCCCACTGAGAAGATCTGGCGAGATACTCAGTGCGCTGTGTCCACGTGTCTATCGCCGGATCCATAACTGTGTTAGTCCAGAGGAGAGTGGGCGACGTGTACCCTCCTGGTGGGACTCTCCGGCTGTTAGCGCACTTCTCTAACAGATTTTTCTTATTTTTCTCATATCGTAGGCTGGACTTGTGATCGCACTGACGAATGGCAGAACTTCCATCTGCGGAGCTTCCTTACTGACCAACACCCGCTCCGTGACCGCCGCTCACTGCTGGAGGACCAGGAGTGCCCAGGCTCGTCAGTTCACCCTCGCTCTTGGAACAGCTAACATCTTCTCCGGAGGCACCAGGGTCACCACCTCCAATGTCCAGATGCACGGCAGCTACAACATGGACACCCTCCACAACGACGTCGCCATCATCAACCACAACCATGTTGGCTTCACCAGTCAGTACCGTTATTTGTTTAATTATAATCAATCATTTTAGAGTTCCTACACCTCTAATGTGATCTACCTCACCTCATTACAGACAACATCCAGCGCATCAACCTAGCCAGTGGAAGCAACAACTTTGCTGGTACTTGGGCCTGGGCTGCCGGCTTCGGAAGGACCTCCGATGGTTAGTATTTATCATTACTGAAAAAAAAAACAAATAGTTAATGCTCTCATTTTGTATTCTGCGTTGACTCCGCGACTAGAAGGCGCCATGAGAGAGTGCTGATAAAATTCATTGAACATTCCAGCTGCTTCGGGAGCCAACAACCAACAAAAACGCCAAGTCAGCCTCCAGGTCATTACCAACGCCGTCTGCGCCCGTACGTTTGGAAACAATGTGATCATTGCCTCCACCCTCTGTGTTGACGGCTCTAACGGTCGCAGCACCTGCAGCGGAGACTCCGGCGGCCCTCTCACCATCGGCAGCGGCGGAAGCCGTCAACTGGTCAGTACAGTATTTTTGTTTAATTTTACTGCTTTAACTGGTTGCCTATAGATTCTCTGTTTGCTTATTTATTAGGCTAAATGCTACCTTTTATGACTCACTACATTTCCCATTTGTTTCTTGTACTTTCCAGATCGGTATCACATCGTTCGGATCAGCTCAAGGTTGCCAGAGAGGCCACCCTGCCGGCTTCGCCAGAGTCACATCCTTCAACTCCTGGATCCGGGCTAGAATTTAACTGACGAATGACCAATGATTCAATAATAAAGTAATTTCATTAACAAAAAACAAATCTTTTTTTTCGTATTTCTCAATCTCATCCACTGTAGGAAACTTGGATACAAATCCTAGTCTTGGCAGAGTAGTCGTGGCTGTCGATGGACAAGGTTCCGTGTCGTCGCAACTGGGATAAGCACTCAATAAACATTAAAAAATAAAACAGTGTTGATTCACGCCACTGTGCTCCAACTGCTCAGAGTGTAGGTATTTCTTTTTTTTGCTACTCGATAGCTTAATGTTAAGCAGTATATTATGAAAGTAGCATGTAAGCAGGCAGGTTTACTAGTCCTATTGAGTAAACTGAAGATCTTCGATCGCCTAGGTACCGTCTCGGTCCTGTCAGTCGAGTAACTTTACCGAAGCGAGCACCTCGAATGTCCTTTGTACAAGCGAGGGTGAGACTTAACAGCTCAAGGGCAGCTGCTTCATGCATCTGCTACCGCTAAGAAGACGCGGCGAGAAGCTCAGCGGGCTGATTGATGTATGGGTTAGGGCGCGCCTCGAACTTTATAGCGAGTTTGACGAGTGCGGGCATCGGGGCTCTTATGCCTGTTCTTGATGCTAAAGGTGCAGGCGTCTAATGATCGGATGGATCCGTAAGGACGTGTCTAGGGTATCGACGGTGACTGGCTCCTGCATGAGCCGGGGTGGAGGAGTAGTCAGCGGTGACCACGATTAGGCAATTTTCATGACGAAACTCCATAATGAAGTAGGGGGTACCGTTCCGACGTTGACTTCAAATGTCTTGAGATGGATTCGAAGCCCAAGTCGTCGTGACCTGAGCTATTGATTGGCAAGAGCGTGCGAGAGATCGGAGTGTAAGATTCCTTCGCCTAATGTGAGAGAAAATTCCCGTTGATGTTCCCCTTTAGTACGGCAGTGCTGGTTTAATTAATATCGATTCGCCATTTTCGGAATTACTGTCCGAGGTTGACGGATTTTTCATTTCAACTCAAGTAGTTATGATGGATGATATTGTCAATGACTGGAGTTCAGTGTCCATGTAAAACCATATTTCAAAGACCGCTTTTGCTTTATTTTCGCTTTAGTTCGGTTCGTGTCAGCTTACGGCACGGCGCCATACTGCGCGTTGTGTGACACGGCGAAGCAGTGGGCAGACCACAGAGCCGGAGGCTTGGCCTGTCATTACACCCCCTCCTCTAGAAGAGGTGAGGCTGAAAAAAAAAGAATAAGAAGGAGGAAGGGCCGGGTCGCGTGTCGCATGTTGTTGGACGAGGCGGGAAAATTGCTTGAGGAAGCGGGTAGTGGCCGCCCTTCGTTCGGTACCTGACTGTGGTGAATCTCGATCGAACGTCGATTCGAGCCCAGCACGCCAGGCCGCCTAGACAGTGCCGCTGTTGTTCCGGAACACCCCGCTTGACCAGAACCGACCTGCTGGATCGGGACGCTATACACCGCCAATCGGTGAAAAATCACGATATTTGTGTCTCTCCTTTTTTTTATTACCCTTGTAGATAGACGAGCATACGGCCCACCTGATGGTGTTTAGTTGCCGTCGTCCATGGACTTCAGCAATGCCAGGAGCAGAGATAAGCCGCCGCGTACCGTTAAGTACTCTCCATAAGCCTCGTTTGAAAAAGGATATGACATAGCACTCGGGAAACACTGTGGAGGGGAGCTCATTCTAAAGCCAGATGGCAAAAAAGATCTCTGGAAACGCACTGTGGATAAGCGCAGTGGCTTCAGGTAGTATGGACGAACTCTACTCCGGTGGCGGGCGACGCGATGATAAAAGGTGATGATGATATCATCGCAAACAATTCCTCAGAGCACGCCCCATGGAACATACAGTACAAAATACTGAGGGAACCGAAGTCCCTCCGCAAACCCAGAGGTTCCAAACGATCCGTGACGATGGGATTATCGACAATCCGAACGGCCCTCTTCGGTATGGAGTCAAATGGAAGTAGCTGGTATTTGGGAGCCCCGGCCCAGAGATGGCAGCAGTACTCCACACGATGTCGGACTTGTGCTTTATAAGGCAAAAGTCATTGTCCAGGCGTGAAGTACCGCTTCACTCTGTTGAAGACTCCCAGCATTTTGGACGTCAATTTGGCTTTGCCTTCCAAATGACTCCGAAATTGGACATCGCTCAAAAGTTGACCCCAAGTATCCCGATACTCCCTTTAGCAGCGCGCTAGAGCGCTGATAGCGGGCCGCACAGCCTCACCCCCCTCAGGTCGCCCCAGGACCTTCACCGGGGGGAAGCCACCTCCTACAGGAGCCAGAACGTACGTCCGTACTGTCTCCTTCGGCCCCCGGCTCGACGGCTTTGGATCAATCCGGAGATGCGCAGAGGGAAGAGCTCTCCCTCTCTCGTTCCACCGCCTCCGTTTACGATATGGTGGACTCGCAGAAGTCGAGTATCGCCTTCCAGGATGCTTCGCTACCGTACATGGTAACCACGACGCGCGGCAGGCGGCCATGACCGCGACGAGGGCGGCGTGCTGCTCTTCGAATCCAGAGCAACGCGCCAATGTATGTTCCGCTGTGTCGTCCTCGTTGCCGTCTGCGTGATGGTGGCACCGATTCCCTTCCGGCAATTTTTTCCAGGTATCTGCTGAAACATCCGTGGCGGTAAACATTTGTGTGAGCTGGAAGGTGAGGCATCCGCAGTCACGGCCCACCCTGTCCGCGACAGGTGTGTGGGCTATCTTAATGAAACGAGTGCTTTGGTCGACGATCGTTTATTGACTGTCTTACTAATTAATACAAAATACAATGGTTATACCTATACTACAACTAAAGTAACGTGTTGTTGCACACTACACCTTCGGGGGTGAGAAAAAAAATTAAAAAATATGTAAAAACATTTTTTTTTTTGTAATATATTAAGGAAAAAAATACTTACTGCTAAGTTTAATGCTAATACATGTAAATTAAATTTAAATGTCATGACATGTAAATTCTATTAATCTATAATTAAACATTAAGCTTGATAAAATGGTTTTATCCTATTCTTATGTACTAATTCTATTTTGTTATCTTTTAATAATTTTACATTAGGTCCGCAATCTTCTACAATACTATATGGTCCGTGAAACACTCTGTCCATTTTTGTTCCGATCTCATTTTTTAATAAAATTAAATCGTCTTTTTCGTACACAGTTGACTTACTGTTCTTATCATACGTACATTTTCGTTTTATTTTATCTGCAATTAACTTTTCTCTTGCATCCTTATTTGCTAATTGTAATCTATACCTTAACTCTAATGCATAATTATCGATATTATATATTGGCTCTACAACATTACTTGTTAACCTAGTAGGAATATTACATTTCTTCCCAAAAACAAGCTCATAAGGTGCATATGTGGTTGACGTATGCACGGTATTATTATATGCAAAAGTCCAAAACGGTAACCAATATCCCCAAGATCCCACGTTTTCATCGCATTGTATACGTAAAAAGTTACGTAGACTTTTGTGTGAATTTTCCAATGCGCCTAACGACTGATGGTGATAAGCCGTGGACATTTGTTTGTCTATGTTCAGAAGTTTACATACCTCATTCATGGTGGATGACACGAACTCGGTTCCTCGATCGGTTACAATCGCCTTAGGAATTCCATATCTCAACACAAAATTACTTACAAATGCTTTTGCGACTGTTATCGTATCCTTTGAGGGTATTGGGTATGCTTCCACGTATTTGCTCAATTCACACTGGATAGTCAAGATGTAAATATTACCTGAGTCGTCCCTGTCTATTGGACCTATAAGATCTAAATAAATCTTATCGAATGCTGACTCAGCTGTTGAAGTGATAATCATCGGTTCCTTCGCGCTAGGTGTATGTTTCATTATCTGACATTTAGAACATTTTTTTACGAATTCCCTAACATCATATTCAAGTTTTGGCCAAAAATACTTTCTTTTAATATTGTTTACCATCCTTCGAACTCCCGCGTGTCCGCTAGTTGGTAGCAAATGATAGTCTTGTAATATAAACGTTTTTTCATCTTTGTCAACAACTTTCTTTACGCCTTCAATTATTAGAACACGTGGTCCGGACCATTTGTTTCTACTATATATTTCGCTTATTAATTCTTTTATAAATAATACATTGCTATCTTCTTTTACTATGCATAGTTCTTTTATTTTAATATTTTCACAAAAATATCTTAGTTCATTTACAAATACGTCTCGCGTGAAATGTAATTTAAACCTAAGATTAATATATAACGTTTGTTCACTCGGTGCAAACGCAAAACATTTTTCTTCGCATGTTATTTTATCATTCTTTCGTAGTTTGTCTAATTCTTTATCGCTTTTGAAAACTAAGTCTATGGTATCGTTCGGTTTCCGTAATATCTCTGCGACTCGAGGGTGATCAATCCTTTTGTCTGCGGATATATTAGGGTCACTTTGTATACCATGGTCTACATTTTCCAATCTTTTTTTCTGTGCTCTAGTCATTACATTAATACTTTGATTACTCATATCTTTTAATTCATCTGATGTTAAAGTAATTCTGGACAAAGCATCTGCCACAACATTTTCCTTTCCTCTTACGTAAATAATATTGAAATCGTATTCTTCTAGTGTTAAACGAAATTTTAAAAGTCTACTAGATGGGTCTTTCATCCCAAATAAATAAATTAAAGGCTTATGATCAGTTTTGATCGTAAATTTTCTGCCATATAAGTATGGTCTAAAGTACTTAACACTCCACACTATCGCTAATAACTCTTTCTGTATGGTTGGGTAGTTTAGTTCAGCTTTATTTAATGGTCTGCTTGTATACGCTACTGGTTTCATATCTCTATTACATAATACTGAACCTATTGCTTTCTTTGAAGCGTCTGTTTGTAAGATAAATTCATTGTCCTTGTCAAAGTTTGGATACTGTAAAATAGGTGGTGTAATTAATTTATTTTTCAATTCATTAAACGCTATATCGCATTCTTTGGACCATACAAACGGTTGATGTTTCTTACATAAGTTATTTAAGGGTATGGTTATCTCTGCGAATGAT